TGGTTCCAATAGATTGGGTGACCAATATTATTGGTTCCAATAGATTGGGTGACCAATATTATTGGTTCCAATAGATTGGGTGACCAATATTATTGGGACCCAATATATTGTATTGGTGCATGCCTAATAGCGGATACAATAATAGATAAATAGTATATAGTCAATGATTTCCAACCGTATAAAGATGGCTGAAAAGACAATCCGAAAGTTTATTCGTGAGACCCGAAAAACTGACTGACAGCAACAGAACTCATAACTTAAGATCGAGAGAAAGGAAAATGCAGTGGTTCTTATCAATATTTTCTTCTACTTCTAAGATGTTGCGAATTTTATTTTTTTAAAACCCGGAAAAGTTTGGATTGAATAAATAAATTTTATTTTCTACGAGATAAAGTAAAAGTGACTTCAGATACGCGACAAACTCGTAATAACGGCTTACAAACAAAATCTGCAAGTGAACTTGAGAGATTTTTATATACTTACTTAGTAAGTATAAAAAAAACTCTCAATAGACGCTTGTATAATTTACTCACCATTGCATCTTCTGTGTGACCTTGAGCAGGCCTTCTGCTGTGAGTAGAAATTTCATGGATAATCCGTAAAAAGCTTTCTTTCTCTTGCTTTCTAGTCGACGTTAATTGTGAAGGTCGACAAGGTAAGAAACCTGGTTTTGATAAAGACTCAACTGACCATGATGGTAGCAGTAAAACAGGACTTCAAGTTCAAGAACAAAACAGAGGACGTCCAGGGGCAGGAATGGGAGGTCATGGAGGCCGAAGTGGAAGTAGCGGCAGCAGTGATGGATCAATGAGCCCTGGTCGTACTGGTGGAGTGCATCATCATGGAGATAATCGTGCTGGAATACATAGTGGAAGAAGTCCAGTTTCAGTGCCTGGCGGCCGCGGAAATAAAGAAATTGGAGGAGGAAAACATAAAGATAAGAAGGATAAGAAAAAAGATCGGAAGAAACATGGTAAACAGCATGGAGGTTCCGGTTCGAGAGATTCAAGTCGTGGATCATCTAGAGGTTCAAGCCCAGGTAGCAAATCACCGCATCATGGAGGACAAGGAACAGGAGGTCGTGGTGGCGCTCATCATGGTAGCCTGAATCCAGCTGGAGATCACACACGCGAACGAAAAGGGCCACACCATCGTAAAGATTAGTGAATGCTTATCAACAAGAAAAGACTGATCCGCAAATTTTTCTTATTTATTCATGTATTTATATCTTTTTAGTTTATTTAGAAGTATTATAAAGATTATTAGATCTACTATCCATTTCAAATTCAAAGACTGGTGACTAGGTTTCGAATAAATCGAAAATGGAATGAGTTGAAGTCATGTGATTTTTACCATTTAAAAGCAGACATCTAAGAGCATCTTTTCATAAGCAGAAAAGTGTTGAAGAAAAATTTCAAAAACCGATTGTTTCGAAGAAGTCTTTTGAAAACTATTTCATAAATCAAAAAAATTAAAATAGAAAAGTATTGGTTTCTTTTCATATAGTCCAAAGTGTCTTCTACAAAATGGGAACTAGCAATCTCTTAACCTTTCTCGGTTTAGGTGCGGCATCCCATTTTTGCCTCTTTCGTCTAACTAATCTTCGAAAAATATAGTATTCGATAACTCAATCCTTTCATAATAAGTGATTTTCAACAGTTCTGTTCCGTAGTTACATAACTTGGTCGGAATTATATGATATCGGAACTCTTAGAAAAGAAAACGTTCTCAGTAATGAAACCATGTCATAACCTTTTTCAAAGTCCAAATTCGACAGATCATAAAAAAAACTGAATAAGCTGTACTCTGTTTTAATTAAGGATATGTAATGGCAGGACTTTGTGTAAACTCATAATATTTATTTTTCAGCACAAATTAATTATTTATTTTATTTAAAATTTAAAAATTGTTTATTCTGACGTTTCGAGTCACCGACTCATCATCAGAGAAAACATATACACTGTAGAGAGAGAGAGATATGTTGATGAGTATCAATTTTTTCGATCACCAAACATATTTAGATAGAACCTTGAATAAACGTAAACTACGAAAGTTTCGGTCAATGTGGAGGCATATCTCGATCGGAATATCTTTTTTTATAGAAATATCTGTTTAAATGTATCCCGACCAAGATATATTTTGAAATTATATCCCAATCAGGATATAATTTGATACCTCGATTGGGATCAAAAATTTTAATTTTTAATTTGTAAGAAAATGATAAATTTTAATTAAATGAGAGCTGAATATTCTTCTTCTTCGTTATTCTCCTTGTCTAACGTTGTGATTCAGTTGTGATTCACTTATAAAACATAAAGCAGTTTATCTGCACGAATGAATAGTTGGAAAATTCCCCGTTAAACACAAAGTACGTATACTTATATATTGTCAACGCATCAGAAAAGAAATGCGTGTTTCAATATGTGAGTGTATCAAAAAGGAAGAAATAAAAAGATGGTCGATGTGGAAAGGGATTAGATCAGGAGTATATCTTATTTTGAGCAATAAAAGATTAACCTCCAATTTCCCGATCGGCACATAAATTCGACTGAAATTTGTTAAAAATTTCTTTTTGAGAAAATAGTTTCCGCGTGCTTGACAGACTTTTAATCAAACACAACCGAATCCGATGTAGTTTTTTCAGCTCTTTCTAATAGTGAAGTCAATTTTTTCCTATAACGTCGTGGTTTTCCCCTTAATTATTTTTACGACAAAATTTTGTGTCGTATATCCCGAGCTGATCACAAAGCATTGGCGGAAAACCGTATATTTTTGATCGTGTACAGACCCGATATTATTCATCGTATTTCACTTTGATCTGTTGTTAAACTCAATTTCAAATCTTCATTGGAAGCATCTTTTTGTTGATGACTTAACTGTGGTTGTCTCTTCATCAGTACATTGGTCCTTTAAAGTGCTTATTCTGAATCTTAGTGACCATATTACTCAGGCACTTGACAGTCTTGTTTCTTATTCTATTACGTGGAAGCAACCGCCTCTCCACTTAAATGTCTATCTGCTAGTCGTATGCTACGCGAGCATGTAGCGTATCGCTTATTTTTTGCGTTCATTCGTCCACATTTTTAATCTTTGCTTAATGTGTACCATATTCTTGCGATAAGCAAACAACAGGAACATGAAGCATTAAATCGTCAAATGTTTAGAGCTACTCTTGGCTGGTATAATATCAAAAGCGTTGTAATAGAGGGTTTGCCAAGATACAGATCTATAGGGGCGTTAGCACAAATAGATTGGACAAAGCTGCTTTCTACGTTATTTGTCACAAATCCTAATGTGATCTGTGACTATATTCAAGATAAACTGTATTTATTGTTTTTGCGGGAGTGCTATATCAACCCGCACACAGTGGGCAACCATGTGGATATTAAGTGAAAAAACCAAAGTGGACTTTTGGCAAATTCAAATAACGCTCATATCTTTTTGCCCTTGGAAGTTTTGCACCATGGAGAAAAAAATATCATTCTTCTTCCGCGAACTGTTTTCCAAAGAGCATACCTCAGTATACTAAGGTTCCACAATTTTCCACAGCTCCAGACTTAACGAAATTTTTACAGAAGATACATCCGCTGACGATATATAGATACTGTTAGCGCAAACTAGTGCAAATGCTCTTGGGCTGAGTTATAGATTTTCCAAGTAAAATCAGATTATCTCCTTTTGGAAACACATTTATTCAACAATAACAGCATATCGGGAATTAGCGTGAAAAACTGCATCGAATGATATATAACTTACAGCAGTTTTGGGGGAAAAAATTGTAAGTTTTCGAGGAAGGCTAAATTTGAGGCAGCACCGTGGTACTTGAGGCTGGTGGGTTTTATATCGTTAGAAAAGAGATCTGGAGGCCTACAAATAGTTGTTTTATAGATTTCGGAGTACGCCTGATTCAATGGACTTGTTTAAAAAATTCTAAACTGGTTCTGCAAAGGTTCTCTATGGACCGGATCTCTGGAAAACCCTTAAAACATGAATTTTGAACTTTGTAAGTGACTCCATTAGAAAGAGGACACTCAAAAACCTACAAAAACATATCTGTGAGATCTTTTCAGCCCTTCAAAATCCAATGTCCACATGCCTAGCTAAAATTGCCCACTGTGCCGCAGTTACTAAAAGAAAAGCGTCTAATTTGCAACAGGGGCAGAACTGCTAAAAACGTTTAGTCTTTTTTTTTCAAGAAGGAAAAAAGAGTATGTCACTATTTAAATGTAAGAAAACATAAAAGGTAACTTTTATCTCTCCGTTGCGGTTCTGTGTTGGTGCATAGGTTATGTCTCTTTATTCTTATATTTTTATAAAAACGGTACTCTACTTGGCAAAGCAATATCAACTGTTAACGGCGACGTTTTAATGTAATATAAATAGGATCAACTGCTCTCATGATGATTTCTTCGGCTAAACGAATATCTTCTATTGTTTGTGTTGTTGTCAATGAAAATTTTCTTAATAAAGTTGATAAAAATACTTTTTCTTCTAACATTGCAAATCTTTGTCCTTAAACATATTAAATAAACAATTTTTACCGTTTCGTTTTCAGCATTACTTATAACTTACCAATACAATTTCTCGTACCCGCACTAAATGGAACAAAAGCAAAATGATGAGAATGTTGTGCACTATTCTCTGGAAGAAATCTATCAGGATTAAATTTATTTGGTTCGGGAAAATATTTTGGATCAAGATGAATGGCTTTTATCAAAATGTAACATGTTTGACCAGCAAGAATTTTGTGACCGTCTACAATAGAGCAATCGATACGCTTATTCATGACAACAACTTGTGGACAATAAATTGGTTACTGTATGTCAAATCTTCTTGTGCTTCGCGGCCAATCGACGGAACTGACGGTAGTAAACGCAACGATTCCTTAAGATGAGAAGTTTCTATATGCGAAAAACAAATCACTAGAATACGCTTACTTTGATAACACATTCTAAATAATTCATTTGTTTTAGATCGTCCATTGAACATGCACGTTCAAGATCATCTTCTGAGTAACAAAAATAGAATTAATCAAAAGACAATTTCAGTCAATTATAAACATACGAAATATTCTATTTATTTCATCGTGTAATTTTTGTTGTACATCAGGATGTAATGCAATAAGAAAACAAGCAAAATTCAATGCTGCAGCTGTAGTGTCATGCCCCTATGAGAAATAGGACATACATATTTCGGGCATTTGTTTGAGAAATTAAATACATGTTATAGATTACCTCAAACATAAACGTATCTGAAATGGAAGACAATATTTACAGAAGACAAAACACGCATCGTTAATATGAATATTTACCAACTTCTTCTTGAATATCTTCCATAGTTAGTTGTTCATCATGCATTTTTGCTAATAGTGTATCAAGAAATGCCATACGTTTCGAATGTAACTGATTTCCACCAAATTGTTGTGCTCGATTATTAATAATCTGAGAGAGAAAAATAAGAACATTATCACTCGTTTTATGTGCGTGTGTATGTACACGACAAACTAGATTACATTTCTTGAAAAATCATGAAGAATTTTTAATAATTTTTCGTGTTCTCTACCAATAGGAAATAATTTAAATAAAAAATTAGGCCACATCCACGGTGTTGTCATTCGTTGAACAATAATATCACCAATTCTACGAAATAAATCAATTTTAAACTTTGCATACAATTTCCATTCACTGCGTACTCTTTCTTCTGTTATTTTCCTTTCGCGTGAAAGTTTCAAAGAGATATATCAGAGTTCTGCATGCACTCAAAATTTTCAGTCCATTTCAGCCTGTGGACTTAGGCTTTTAAGAAAGTTCACATTGGATCATTGCTGGTTACTTTTTCTAGTCTATGAACTGGAAAGCTACAGTGTAATCCACGACATTCAAATGAAATCTATGAGCTCAAATTTTAAGACTGACACTAGTCTTAGAGAAGTCGTTTATATTTTTAGTGTAACTATTACCGATGCTTAAACCAGCCGTGATAGATGATGTGAGCAGATGTGTTCGAAAGATAACATCTATACACACGTACTCACTTATGACTCTGCGTGAGCTTCAGAGCTGCAACTGCCTATTAATAATACGAAAACAACATGTTTCCCACCGTTTTATCTCGTACAACCCCATTCCAAAAATGTTTCGAGCCCATACCAGCTCATGGTGTAAAATGTTTGAGTCCTATTAGTTCCTAGCACATGTACTCACAAATTTTCAGTGCAGCTCATTCGAAGCTCTAAGATATTTATATATAGATATAGATGTCTATACATGTATAGTTATATTTTTTTTTAAAGATTTGTAGGATACTAAATTTTCAGATTTTTGGATTATGTTTCAAGAATGTTTCCGAATAGAACCGTAGGCATTTTGCCAACAGACTGAGACTAATTGTAGGGTCACTGATACCTTGCAACAGCTTCAACATATTCTGATTTCTCTACTTGGGCTTGACAACTTGTGCCCATTGCTGCTTCTAAACAGTATAGTAAACAGCATAATTATGCTTTAAGTATACTGTTGTGTTAGTTTTTGAACTGACCACAAATAATATCGAGTGTACATGCAGCAATAAACGGGTACATGTCGATCGGTTGCTCGGATAGTGTTTCGAAACGAGATGTACATATTCTAGATTGTTCATTAAAAATAATTAAAAAACTTTGTAATAAATTCGCATCATGAAATGACGGTGTTAGAATACGTCGGCGTGTTCGCCATTTGTTGCCTTTGCTAAAATAAGATTAAATGATAATCAAATATTATATAGATGTATTTATTACATCACCTTGTCAATAGTCCAGTTTTTAGCCATGGTTCTACCAGCTTATACTCAAATGATTTAGTTATTTCTTTTGTACTACTAAAGAAGATCTACACATGTAAGAGATAAAAAGTGAATGTGAAAGATCAGTGTATAATATAATGCATGATTCTGTTACTTCTAATCCATCAGCATTTGTTAAAACAACGATTGGCCAAATAGAGTACCAGATACAAAAGCACGATTGCTCACGATATTTTGAAGCTGTTGCCATGAGTAAGCGAAGAAAAGCTACAGAGAGAAAGAAAAATGATTTCATCTATGCAAGACACAATAGAATAGAACACTCACAATCTCGTTCGGAACTGAGTAAATGTAAATTGCCCATAAGTGGAACACACGGTGGTGATGGAATGGATTCGTATGCTTTTTTCCAAATAGCATGCTTACGAAATAAATTTAGTATATAAACAACTATCGGAGTGAGAATTATAATAATACCAACAAATGGAAACGATATCATTTTTCTAAATACAACAACAAAATATCAGAGATCATCTTCATTAATACATTCTTTATATAAAAGCTCGAAGAGGAATCGAGAGGTACGCCAATATGACTTTCGCCACACTACGAAAGTACACTGAATTTTCACCAATACAAACTCGTGGATCTTTGCCAATAATTCAGTTGCATTGTTTCGTAATGCAAGTTATAATTTTTTTTAACGAGGGTCGGTTTGGATATCATATAAGGGAAGCCGTCAAAATTCTCATCGGTGAATTTGATTGGAAAGAAAATTAAGAACAGTATTATTCAATATGTCTGAGAAAAAGAATATGGAACTATCGTACATATGATATGAGATAACGAAACTCGTTTCTTCTGATTAAGTATCTGACCGACTTCGCTAATTTAACAAAGGACAATATGTCTGGATTCTTTGTTATTCATTCTTTGGCACTTTCATCTAGGGTCTCGAAGGAAAAAAACTACTGTAAAAAGCAGAACAAAAAACGTCTCCTTCCATAACGATCGTTCTTATCAATTTTTTTACCTCAGACATTGATGACAATACAGATGCATGTTATTTTTTCTTTTTTCCACGTTTTCTGCGAAGCACTGATGCACCCACCAAGAATGAAAATGTCAAGACAAATTCTAATATTTTCTTTTTCGTTTTCGACGATCATTTAACCCCAGAAAGAGATATGACTTGCATTGAGAGACAACCCAAGTGAAGTGATAATTGACGAAAGTACATTGAACTTTCACCAGTCCACCCTATGGTCGCTCGACAATTGGCGAAAGTCACATTAGCGTACCTCCCTGATTCCGATTCCATTCTCCTGCCATCACAACTCGCAATGCTCTCGTCGCCAGCGACAGCATGAGCACTGATCGACGGTATATAGCAATTGAAAAAGATGATTAAAAACCGAAAAAACTTCAGCATGCATTAACTATTCCAAGAGAAGACTTTCGCAATGTAGTTCTAACAAAGCAGACGCGTTAACGGGATATATAGTGTATTAGAATATGGTTACGGAATAACTAATCCAACTGATCGTGATTATGCTACTATTTTAGTAAACGGGGCAGATGGATAGGGAATTACTGGATTTCAGCTGTTTTTCCGATAGAATTACTTTGATTCTTGCACTAGATGACATAGCTTCAAATCGACAAGAAGGGTCTGAAGAACAGAAAAAACTAGATATTAAGATTTTGCCGTATTAGTCTTACATACCGCCATGGTCCGTTTTCAATTTATTTTACTCAAACTATCACTCATGACATTCTTACATGTGCAGTGCTTCAATAAGAATACTTACTTATTGTTTGAAGAACGATATACGAAAGTAAACCTACGTAAGTAGTTTCATGTATATAGTTTATTCTTTTGCAGAACTGAAATAAAAATATTTGCTAAGCCCCGAAATACGAAGGCGATTGAAACAAGTGTTTTTCTCTTTTTGATCGTTCCTACACATAACTGTAAAAATTAAATATCGTTTTTATTAGTAGTCTGAAATTGAAAAAAAGGAGAACGACTATATTGCATATAGGTGCTATGTGTCGTAATGCATCCAATATCAAATGCTGTTTAGAGCATATACATTAATAAATAAAAACATGAGAAAAGTACCTCGTGCATGACGATACGTAACATCTATATACAACATAGTCTGTCTCCTTTTTTTCTGTGTGTGCGTGTATGTATGTGTGCTGAGTAATTTAGCTTTTCGTTTAATATGAATGTTCTTTTGTGTTATTCTCTGACTACATGCGTTAAATGTGTCTCTCTTACTTACTATTTTTACTAGCTATTTTCCCTTGTTGAGCAGTCAAAATGATGGCATGGGTGTATTTCTCTTTCTTTTTGTTGTTCTGTATTTATTCAATGGAAATTCATCTATTTTTCTTCTTTTTACAAATAAAGCTTAAACCAACATAACCGTTAGTCATATAAGTGTAAGAAAGTTGCAGAAAGCAGCTTTTAATTATCATGTAGGTGTCGTTTTGAGGATACCGTTAAGATGCTATTATTGAGGAATTAACGGGATTTTAATGAACAAAAGTATCTGATTTTACTCCGAATGGAGTAGAAATACTTTTCTACTACATACGAAACCATTATTACTCTAAAAAGAGAACGGACCGATTATCAACCTTATGCAGACCCTCCTTTGTGACTACTAGGTTACTTTGTTCGCTATGTATCCATGTAAAAAGCTGTTAAGTTGCTATGTTAGATTTTCGCTTTATGAAATGATTTTCCGAGGACCCCTTAGAAAATCGGTTTTTGGAAAATAGCTTCAAAAGTCTTTTTGCTTATGAAAAGATACATTAAAATATTGGCTATTGAATGGCGAAAACTACAAGTCTTCATCAATTTTCTGTTTCGAGTTATTTAAAAAATAGCATTGGACATTCTATTTTGAAAAAGATAATAGTAAAATAAGTCTGGTATTAGAACAAAATGGCGCACAGAACCGACCAGCAACTGGTTTTGTAGAGAAATATTTGCTCTACAGTTCTGATAGGTCAAAAAAAATTCTGTCTACTTATTCCACAAATTGATCACCTATCTCGTGGTAGTTCCTTTGTAGGATGAGGTTGATAGTGAAGGGATCAATCTGTAGAACAACCAGAAACTTCCATTAATTGAGATCGAGATCGCTCTACTATCGGATGGCATGCTTAATTGGAGGAAAACATCTTTCCTGTTGAGCCTTCGCATTTTCTCTTAATAACGTCAGTTTCACTTTTAGTTCACCCTTACAGACGTTCACTAGAATCGAATTTCTTTTAAATTATCAATATTGGCTAAAGTATGTAAGCCTGCTGCCTTTCGGTGGGATCTCAGATACAGATCCGGATATTAACACACATGAACACCCATTTTTTACTTAAAACATCTTTCAAACGTTCTGCGTGGTCTTTTACGTTTTTTATGGTTTTCCGCTCTTATTTGCTTTCTTCTTTCAGTTTTGAGAAATATTAGTTTCCTCTATATTGGTGAGTGACGTAGCTTATTCACCATCTATGCATAACTGCTACTCATCAAATACCTGCTTCAGTCGTTTTTTTCTTGCATTGAAAACATCTTTCAAACGTTTCTACGTGGTCTTTTACATTTTTTATGCTTTTCCGCTCTTATCTTCTAGCTTCTTTCTGTTCTATTCGAGACAAGATTATAGGAGAAAACCATAAAAAATGTAAAACACCACGCAGAACGTTTGAAAGATGTTTTTTTATGAAAGAAATGAAAAGATTGTGAAAAACTGTGAGAGAAAACGTATATCGCACGTCATTACATGAATACGCTTATTCACACTCTTTGCGTAACAGTTACTCATCTACTACCTTCTATATAAAAGACCTGGAAAATACTTTCTGAAGTCAGCTGTTTATCTCACTCTCAAAAAAATATAAAGATGCCGACCAACACACACACACAATAACAATGATATTCTCAAACACACAAACTTTGTCGATTCAATTGTAAAAGTGAAATGATTTATTCAGGGATATGTCCGTTCTGATGTTGAACAACTTCCGTGTCTACTCCTACTTGACTGTAAATTTCAGCCAGTGTCATTGGTTCACTGATTTCATTTGTAAATCCCAATTTATGCGATAGCATTCTAGCACTTTCTACGTCAAGTTTGTTGAATTCATAATTGGCGATCAGTCGACCTTTTCTCAACAGAGCTTTATCAATTGATTTCAAATCACAGTTGAATGTGGCAATGATCTGTTGATGCATGGCATCCCCGAGTAAACCATCGGATAATTATCCGATGGTTTTGCAGAATCAAGTACAGAAAGCGAGAAGCAACTGTCCTGTAAGGCACAACAGTAATTTATTTAGGAAGAACAGAAGAACGATAGATTCGACGCCGAACCTCTGATGGAGCTAGTCCAAAGACACGACTCGGTGCACCTAGCTTGCGCCGACAAGCAATAGCAATGTCTCTGGCATGTTCACTCTACCTAAGATCGTGCGAACAAGAATTCCAAGACAGCGAACAGAAGACACAACGGAAAGAGGGACTTTATTGCGATAGCTGATTGTAAACAAACGTGAAAGAATCAAAACCAAAAGCAAGTCCACAATATTGAGAGACATGAAATTAGTAGAAGAGGAAGAGTAATTAGTAGAAGAGGAAGAGTAATTTATACAGGTTTGAACATGAGAGAAATTAAATGGATCCGAAGAAGAAAGAGGTACAGTTAAAAAGACATCATCTGCAAAAAGACAGATTTCACAATTTGTTGGAACAGAAAGAGGCAAGTCATTAATAAAAATAAGAAATAAAAGCGACCCGAGCACACTGCCTTGAGGAACGCCAGAAGAAACAAGAGAAGGAGAAGAGACAGAGTAACTTTCATCTCATGAAACGTTGAAGAACGACAAAAAACATGGTTGGTAGCAATTTTTATGTTTAGTCCTACCATTTTTTTCAGTCCAAGCGTGTCCTACCAAGAAAAAGAAATAAACGGTGGAAAAAGAAGTCAACTCATGTAGTTGTGACGAGTTGTTTTTACCTTTTATCGGAACAGAGAAAAGGAGAAATCAAAAACAAATTGTTTGTTAAGGAGCTTGCCCAATAAAAGTTGTGTGAAACGTATGGCATTAATGCACTCAGTGCCATTACGTTGGCTGTTGTGGAGTTTCAGTCACAATTTTTCATTGGTTGAAATAAGTCAGACTAAAGGTAGCCAGTGTTTCTAACATTACGCGTACGCCTTTGTTTCAAAGCGTACGGTACGCGAACTAAATTGAAAATACGCTTTGTATCAACCAATAGGAAAAGACAGAACGATAAAATCCATGAATTACCACGCTTATGTACGCGCTGCTCAAAATTCTCATTAGAAAGCCAGAAGGTAGCTATCCTTAAAAATTCATAATCTGAAAGATGACTGTGTCGGTCAATGTGTGCAATTCGTTATACAAGAGAAAACTTAATATGTATATCTCCAGCGCACATCCGTAAGCTCAACTTCGAGAGGTAACTTCAAAATCTGTTAATTTTTTTTTATGACTACCTTGCCGCCGTGCGCCCTCAACTCTCCCTTCTTCTGTCATGTGTCATCGTTCACCGTGCACCACCCAGGTTAATGACGTGATACTCGAAGGGCATCTGACGGATTCGAATATAGAAGGATGAGTTAGTTAATAAACAATTCTTTCCTTCTGAACAATTTTTCACAAATTACCATATGTCAGCATATTTTTTACGCCATTTCTGGGACCACACCATTCCACTACTTGCGAACTGAGAGAATAAACAGTAAAATCGACTGAAAATCGACCGATTAGTAAAATTATAAATCAATCAAGTATCATGTTCTGACTGGTTCAACTCCTACTATCACCCGACTAGTTAAAATTATTGTTTCGGTGTTGTATGTTTGTACTACGACTAGTCAGTAGTACAAAGGAGAAAAGAAAACGGTGAATGAGTGATTTTATGATTTCGACTAGCCCCGAACTGATCGACTAGTTCACGACTAGTCGAAAAAACGGCGATCAGTCGATGTTGATCCGTTCGACTAGTTAAGAATTCTGACTAGTCGATAATTCGACTACATACCAACTGGTCGCCAAAAATTTCGACTGGTCGAAAAAGAATTTTCGACATTTCCGACTTGTCGGTATACCAGTCGATTCTGATTTTACGTTCACTTGCGAAATTTAATAAATTGACAAATGCCTGATTAGGAATAAAGACATCATTACGATCTTTGATAATGTTTTCGGCATCTTCTGTAATCAATACTGAATCTTGATATTGCATTAGAAATGGTAAAAACTCAGGTGAAGATATTTCTTTGGCCATATCAGGTGGAACATATATGAGAGCTTTTCTTTAATTTCATGAATCAGATAGCGAATATAGTGTGTTTTACCACTACCTGGTACTCCATGAAGGAGTACAATACCCTTTCCTTCTTTCCTGTTCAAACTTTTTACCACTTTTCATGAACGGGTAGAAAACTTTTACCGTAGTTCAGCGACATATCGGTTATAAACGGCTTTTTGATATTGATACTGCTCAAATAATAACCGTACTGACTTTTTACATACCATTTCCAGTACCGATGTTTTATCCGAGAGAAGATTCATTTTTGATATTGTCGAAGATTCATTGAACATGATTCAAGAAATCATGTTTAAGCTCTTGCGTGATATATTCGAGCAGTGTGGTAACGTGGATGACAACATTTTCTTCATTTCCATTGCTTACCTCTAATACATTCGGATAATAACGATATTTAATTAAGAATATAATATTTTGTATATTTTACAGCATCTGTACACATTTTTGTTTAGTTTGCATTAGATAATTCTTACAGGAAAATACACAACAATGTGTACAAACTACGCGCCAAAGGTGATTTATTCTATCGCACGAATAGAACGAAAAAATTTCGGCAAAAATGTCAGTTGCACTGAAAATAAGATATCAATCAATATGTCAATAAAAATATAACATTTTGTCATTGCTTATTTTGTTCTTCAAGGAGAAATAGCGTTCCACATAGATATACTTCAAATTAATGTAAAAAGTAGAGAGGATACTGTTTTTAAACAAACATTATACAACGGTTTTACTTGCCGTTCGTTCATATTGCCCCGTTTCATTTAACTGAAATACAGGGCCGGCGGAACGTTTTCAAATCAGGTAAGGCTCAGTAAGGTCGTTAGTAACGATACTAAAATAAAGTTCGCTCGATCGAACAGAGTCAAATTCGACAGCGGACAAATTTCAATTCAGGTAAGGCTGAGCCTAATAGTGTCCAATTCAGGTAAGGCTCAAGCCTAACGAGCCTACAGGCTCCGCCGCCTATGCTGAAATAGTACGTGTATTATAGAGACATGAAAGTTCAACAAAGTTCGTGCAATTTCTAAAATTAAAGTAAAGCCCATAGATTTTACTAACTTCAACCTGTGATATTGGCAGCTCTACATCTTAAAAACTAAAAGAGACCTTTTTCTAAAACGTAGCTTGGCATAGAATATAATTGGTGTACTTCAAACTACCACAAAAACCGTAGAGGGGTACCGCCACATTTGTTGAGTTTTTAATCTGGGAAGTTGCCAGAATATACACTAGTTTCATAGTGAGTGCTATCTCCCGTTTGGATAAACCGATAAAATTTTGCTCCCTATTTCTTGCTGTATATCTCCCTGTATAGTGTGCATAGCAAGAAAAAAGCATCAAGGCAAAGAAAAATGACATAAAAGAGACAAGCAGAAAAGCGGAATCTTTGATGTCTACCGTTGAATATAGTGTAATATACCGTGAAAACCCACAGTGGAGAAATCGCGTCCAAAAAATACGTGTACCCGACGAGATTTTTTGCGCCGTACAACGTAACTCGTTGCGCTGATTCCGAATATGTAAAAATCTCGAGAAAAAAATCATTAAAATTTTGACTTTTGGCAGAGCGAGAGGGATCCGAAAAGTACAATCCTTTTGCCGATTCGAACCTGCGAGACAGTAATCTTTTCTGTGTCTCGTGTTATCTGTCTGAAAAAAGCAGTTTTAAGAGTTGTGTCTCGAACATAAAATGTGACAACTTCAATTTTTTAAATTTTACTTTCACGTTACTTTCAATCGTTCGATTCTCGTTGGGATCGTTCGATTTTTTTTCTGATTTTTTAAGGTAGCTTTGAGTACCGGTTAACCAGGCGCTCTAACCCTCCAACCACCCGGTTAATCTAGTTGATAACCACTCTTTTATTAAATATATTTCGTCTTCGAAGCTAGGTTAACCGGTCGGTTAATTGGACGGTTAACCTAGTTGTCAACCTCCCGCTCCTACTCGATTATGATAACCTAGTGCTCGGTTCACTACTAGGTTGGAGCTAGCTGACTAGGTAAAAAGGTACATTTACCTAGATCTAAACATGTTCATGATGAATACTGTAATATTTGTTAGCTTTTCATGTATGTGGCTGAGTGAACACGTTTACCTACTAAAGAAAAAAGATTAAGTGTAAACGTTAGGGTTGCATTAGCCCTTTAGGACCTAACGCCCACGGGGATGGACATTAGTGAATAGGGCAGAAGCACTACAGCAAAGTGACATTCGACAAACGTAAGCTAGCAATTGCTAGTAAGAAAAAACATTTTCAGTGGACTTACGAGGAAAGCCCACGAGGTGGTACCCTCCGTTTCTAATGAGTTATACCTCAGTCGATAGAGTATATAGAGCTAGTAAAAACCCTAAAAAGGATTTTTCCCATGGCTCTTGAAGACTCAGTTTTGTGGAAAATCAGTTTTTCAGAAACTCTAAAAAGTAACCAAAGCAGTTCTTAATGAGGCGTGATTGTAGCAGGCAAATTTCTGATTATAATGAAACATCTCCCAACTCTACACGACCTTTCTTTGCAAATTTATACAATTTACAACAAAAGCTCTAAATGTCCATTGTCAGCTCTAACGAGCAGTATATCGTAAACTACAGAAATAAGACGAAATTAATTTCGGGCTTTTATAGTAAATTAAGAAAGGTTTTAGTTATTTTTTAGAGTTTATGAAAAACTGGTTTTCCAGAAAACCAGGTCTCCGAGGGGCAAGGGGGAAAATCCTTTTAGGATTTTTACTAGCTCGATATACTGTATCGATT